ATATATATATATATATATATATATATATATATATATATATATATATATATATATATATATATATATATAAATGTGGCCTTTGTGAGCATACGGGATTTGATAAAAAAATGCACTTTTTAAAAATAGAGTACTTTGTGTTTGTCTGTGTGAGAGCATGCAAGTTTACTTGACTGTTGGGCTGCGTAACTGGCTTTAGGTTTTGAAAATGTGATCACAAATTAGACGTTTTGCATTTGTTTTTAATTTATCAAGACGTTGGTTTTCTTACTGCTAAAAATTATCATCTTGTAGGTTAAAATGATTGCAAACTGCAGCAGTATCAATGCATTAATCAAACACACTCATACAAAATTTCTGACATTTTTCCTGCCCCAATTTTTTATTTATGTATTATTTTATTTTATTATATTGCTTTATGTGAACAGATACAAATCATATAGTAGAGTGAATTCACTCACAATATCATTAACTTTTTCTCCGTCTTGGCTCCACTGACTTACTCCTATCATGTCACCAACTCCCACTGAAAATGAATGACGTTCGGTTGCTCGTTGCTACAAATCACTGTCAGTTTGAAAGCTCCTTAATAGATGGATGGTTGAACATGTGCACTTTGCAATGGGGATGAAGACACAATGGAGTGGAGATGAATTGCCTTGGGGAACATTTTATGCTATAACAAAAATGGGGTTGAAAGGAATAAGGAGGAAGTCATTTCTAGGCACTGATGAGAGTTCAGGGAAGACATTTAAAAATAGGCTGTAGTGTGCCCAAGGTAAGTGTGCAGGTAGAGTGCATTTAATTGCAGTATCTGCAGGCAAGAGGACATACGGAGCATGCGCTATTCATGGAACTGGGTTCGGTCCTCTTGGAGTGCTGTAATGGAAATATATGGCAGCAGAAATGAGGCACAACAAATCTTTCACATGCTACAATCTGCGAATCCCCTCTCACTGCACACTGGTCTATGCGTTCTTTCAGCATACAGTTGCGGTTTGCTGCAATCCGATAATTGCTGGGATGATGCCTCTCAATCACACTGTTTAAGTGTGTCGTTTTCAATGCCATGTGAACTCATTATTGGGTTAATGGAGCATATTTGTGCATGAAAGCGTTTGTGTATGTATGTCAGCAAGAGTGCATTATGTTTCCGGGAAAAAGTACATTAACCCAGTGTAGAAATGGGACATATGTGTCTATGTGGAAGGTTGCTACTTTTGGTTTGTGTGCATGAATGCACTGGTGCACATTTGTCAACCATATTTTAACACAATGAGAAAAATGTGTTTGTATAAAAGCTACCAAAAAAAATACTTGGAGAAAATGAAAGCTGGAATTTTAGGGTCCCTCTTAAAAAAAAAATATATATATACATATATATATATATATATATATAAGCACCACAAATTTCTCTCTGCACCAGTGCCACCATTTATTTCAGTAGTGTTAATTTGGCAAATCATTAATCCATCTGCAAAAATGTCAACAATTCTGTGTTTTTCTGTCAATATGGGGTGCTGTGTGTACATTAATGAGGAAAAAAAATTAACAAATGATTTTAGCAAATGGCTGCAATATAACAAAGAGTGAAACATTTAAGGGGGTCTGAATACATTCCGTACCCACTGTATATCTTTTTTTTTTTACAGACATTCACTCCTGAAGAAAATTAGTATTCCACTTTCATGTCAGCTTGCAGATATTGAGGAGAAGTGAGAAATTGCCACAGATTAATGATTTGGCAAATGAAAGCTAGTGAAATAAATGGTGACAGTGGTGCAGAAAGAAATTTGTGGTGCTTAGTGCAAAGTTAATAATAATATATAATTAACATTATTTTTAATAATGAATATTATAGTTGATAATAATATTAATAATATATATAACTTTTTTTTGTCATGAGCTGAATTTTATTCAGAAATTGTAAATGGTTGCTAACTTATTTTGAATAAAATGCAGAGACGGTGTAATGACCTGCAGAAACTATGACAACACTCAATATGTCAGCTGTAGGAATGAAAATCCCACTTTTCAGTTAAAACAGCCAGTCAGGTAATTGAGGCAATGCCTCGTTTCATTCATCAGTCGTGTGACTAACACGGAAACCCGGAGGGCAAAACATCCATAAAACAGCCCACAGGCCTGTCAGTTTCCCATCTGTTTCAATCCACATATATTTAAATCACATCTCATGAGAACAAAAACAAAGATATGTGAACAAACTGTGAAAAAAATTTTGGGCACTTGCGATCCATATACAGAACCTGCTGCAGTATTTGAATCAAACAACAGGACAATCTAAAAAGCTTAATGTGAAAAAACTCTTAACATGCCCTAATGCACGAAAGCAGTGATATTAAAAGATCAAATTCAGTACTCACCATATTAATGATGCATAGTATATACACAGGAAATATAAGCCCAGAATATGAACGCAACACGCTAAATTAAGCTTTTCTTCATAATAGTATTCTATGGAAAAAGCTTAATGTGCAATTAAGCGCATTGCATTCATTATCTTGCCTGTATCATCAACAAGGTTTATACCGTATTAGGTATTTTACTATCATTG